GCCTAAAGCTTATCAACAAAACCACAATGCTACCAATTGGTTGATCAGTTTAGCCAAATATCTCTCACTCCCGCCGCCCCAGCCACTCCCTTGCCTCTTGGCATGGTGAAGACATGCTTAACCTCACTTGTGTGGTTTTAAACAGAATAGGATGTAGGTCACTAAACTGAGACAGGGAAATGCAGAAAAGATTTAGAACAGGTAATAAGAAGAAGGTGTCCATCTACCATCCCCAGCTACTCCTTAGAAAACTTGTGGGAACTAGGAAACCACACCTTTTTATTAGTTGATAAAAATCCTCAAGATTATGTCAAATGTTATCATAATTCCTCTTATCTGATTTCACACATAGCAGCTTTTCAATAAGTTGATCGGATTCTGATCCCCATGCAGGTATGCCCTTCTCATTCTTATATACAGGAAAAATAGAATCTAAAAAACATACTCTAGGGGAGGATAATGCAACAGAAGGATGACTCTCAGGTTAAAAGGATTCCCTGAGTTCCTGAACACATTCATTATTGTGTATATGAAATACGATGAAATTTACTAACCTTTTTTGTTTCATAAAAATGTCTGGAAACCAACTTATCACAAAAAGTGGATGCACCTAATTATCTCTTGAAAGATACAGTGTTCCTATCTCTGCCTTGGACTGTAGCACAGAAAGACGTACAAATAAAGAATGTGTTTAAGAAAAAGGCACAAACATACATAAGCTCTATTTCTATCTGATATTCCAAAACTGAGTTGACTGGACGAGCAAACAAAAGGTGATTTCGCTTAAATTATTAAAAGTTAAATCTTATCAAGAAAGGGACCATGGCCCATTATTCTAATTTTGAATTATAATACTTATATGATTTGCATTATTTATATTTTAAAAAACCTTCCAAATGGTAAAAATTAATGCATAAAAATACAGATAAGAAGCTAGGCAGTTTATCTCAAAGCAAAAAAATCTAAACTTTCCACTTCTGTCCTACAAAAAAAAAAAAACAGCCTTTCACATGGACCTGAAAGTTAAGCCTTATATCAATTTTGCAATTTTGCATTTTACTTTCAACTGTCCCATATGAAAGAGTGGCTATGGTTAAAAAAATAAGATTGTGTGTATATATATAGCTATGGCCACACACACACACACATGCAAAGACACTTTTCTTAGATCAGAATTCAGGATTTATTACTCAGATACTGTTCTCCACTAAGGAACTGAAATTCTCCTGCCCTCTGTATTGCAGAGAAGAAAAACATAGATTCCATCAGGGCTGCAAGATGAAGTTGGTTACAGTGAAAAAGCAATTATGTAAGTTGAACAAATTGTTGTATATCAATACAGCAAAAACACCTGTCATTACTTATGCTTCGTTTCTTTAAAAAAAAAAAAACACTTTATAACAGTACATGCCAAAAATGGCCTCTACTCTGTCATGGGCAGAATTATAGAATTATTTCAAAACAATTGAAATAATTGAGGTCTAGGGGGAAACACCTTCCTAATATAAAATTATGGGAAATTTTAGTTTTAATACAATGTTGCATAAGTAAAGTAAGAGCACTACTTCAGATTTAAATGACATAGCAGTACTTAGTCTTGGTAGGCAAAATCAAAATATTTATTTCCTCTGGCTTTCATCCACTAAATGTCATTTAAGTTGTCCTACACTTTACATAGTATTTATATTTTTAAATATATGTCAAAGGATTCTCACCAGAGATACTTAAAATTAATTTGTTTAAATTATAACATAAATAGAGATTATCAAGTTCAGTTCCCTAAACAAATAAATTGACAACTGAGCTTATGCTAACAGTCGAAAGTTTAAGTGCTTATTCAGAATGTATGGGAGAATTGGAAAAATATGAAAGTTTAGGCATAAGTGGGGAATTGCTGAAAGAAAAAAATTAAGAGAATGAGACAACACGATCAGCTTTCAGATGACATTTCACAAGTCTAGGGAAGGCTCTGCAGCACGGGGCAGTAAATCATTAGTTTACTTTTCGTGGCAGAAGTGATATGCTCAGTCCTCTGAGTGCAGATGGGTCTGGAAAGGCAGGAAGCAAAACACCATACGAAAACACGCTGAACAAACAGAGAAGTGTGTCCAACCTTCCTTGACCAAAATGGAACTTTTCCAGAGCATTCCATTAAAGCTTCAACTCTTGTTTCTTTCTGTTCAGCTATGACATTTCTCAACCTGGCTCTTCTAAATAATGCAACGGTAACTATGAAATCACTGTGCTTATTTGTATATACGTGAATGAGTGCACACTGTCAGGTTTTGCAATTAAAACACTACTGAAAATCTGAGCTCCCTATACACTGGTCCCAACCCCTCCTTCCTGACATCTAAGCTGTCTAAAAGCAACATTTGTGGGGGCTGGCCTGGTGGCGCAGCAGTTAAGTGCGCACATTCCACTTCGGCAGCCCGGGGTTCACTGGTTCAGATCTGGGGTGCAGACATGGCACTGCTTGGCAAAAGCCATGCTGTGGCAGGCATCCACGTATAAAGTAGAGGAAGATGGGCATGGATGTTAGCTCAGGGCCAATCTTCCTCTGCCAAAAGAGGAGGATTGGCAGCAGTTAGCTCAGAGCTAATCTTCCTCAAAAAAAATGATAAAGCAACATTTGCTTTTTCTTTCATTTATAAAAAGGGGCTGAAAAAGAAACCATTTTTAAAAGAAATCCTTCAGGCCTTCTGATGCTACAAAATAACAAAGAAGTATGTCCAAAAGTACCGAACCAAAAGTCTGGAAACCAAGTTTCTGAAGTCTGATGGGACACTAGTGTGACTAACTGTCCCAGTTCGCCCAAGACTAAGGGATTTCCTAGGATGGGGGACTGTCAGGGCTAAAACCAAGAAAGATCCAGGCAAATCAGGACAAGTTGGGCTCCCTATGGGTGACAATGGCTAAATCACAACCCATTAGGAGGGCAGTTCCCCAGGTGCTAACATTTGGATGGGATAAAGAACACAGGAAGGGGGTAAGGTAGACCAGAAGGTCTCGAGGGCCCTTCAATTCTAATTTCCTATGACCCTGTGAAATATTTATGCCACACTTGGACTGTATATTGCATACCACAAGTGAATGTACATTTATGTAGAGTTAGAGGGCTCTGGAAATACTCTGTGAAGCTAGGCGCTAAGTTTGGAGTTATATAAGCCTAATAGTAAAACAGAGCTAGGAGTTTCCAGTTTTTTATTTTTCATTTCTATGGAAAAAAGAAAAAATAAGCTGCTTCTAGAAAATATCAAGCCAACAAACAAGAAACTGCAAAACCCAAGAGCAAGGCAAATGTAATTGTTTCCACTAGCAATCCACAGAAACAATAGAGTCATAAAAGAAAAAGATAAATCAGACCTTGAATTCTTAGAGTATGTTCACTTTCAAATATAGTCCCTAATTTTGGATTTTAAAGCCCGAAAAATCTCCATTTTAGAGGATACAAAGCAAGTTATATAGAAGATCAGGTCACATAAGCTCAGTTGTGGTAAAATCAGAACAAATATTTGGGCTTCCTCTTTTCTAGTTGGGCATTCTAACTTAGGATAATATCTGCCTTACTGATACTAATAAAGATCCTAATGAAAGCATTTCTGCCATGAAGACTGAGTTATGAGAAATGCCTAAAAGCACACCTAAGAAAGTCCTACTAAACAATTTTTTGAAGGCAGTAACATTCAGGGAAAGTTTTAAGAAAGTGCCTCTGTACCTAAAAAATTACAACTTCCATGATATGTTTTTTTCACTCACGAATGAACTACTCTATCATACCCCATCATCTTTCTTACTAAATGAGTGGCTGAACTGTTATTAGAATTTATCAAACATGCTCCTTTATAAGACTTGGTCCTGTGCAAAGTCTGACATCCATCAGCAAGAGATTTCTTACTTGCTACTTAAGGGCAATCTCAAAGTCTGTGTGCGTACTCAAACATGAGGCTATACATGTACACATATGGGTGTATGCTTCTCCTTGCCTCCTCACATAGAAGTTTCTCCCCTGAAATCAGTCAATCAGGCACAATAATTTGTGCCCAAATCTGTCATAAAGGCTATGGGGATATGAAGGTGTGTGCAAAAAACAGGGTCCCAGCCCTCAAGATAGTTATAACTGGGGAAATAAGATATATTCCTATGAAGAGTTCCCAGTGCCAGCAAAATGGATGGCTATCATATTTTTATTAGTAATATGGGGATGCTGTCATCTGCATATTATTTGCATAAATCAGAAAGCCTTAATCCAAATAGGTAAGAAAAAAATAAATCCATACTATTTATTTCAAACATATTAAAATACAATAAATATACAAGTAACAGAATTTATTCTGAGTATGTAATAAGTAGCACATCAGTGTGCAGCAGTAGGGAAGATGGAGTGAGACTCTTAATGGCCAAAATATCACACAGACTCAGAAAAGAAAATTAGGGAAAAGGAACAGTTCTGCTATTATTACCTCAACAATGGAAAGGGCAAAGAAGTGTGGCTTCTCAAGGTTATTCTCAAAACCCAGAGGTGTGTTAAGAATAAGCTGCTGGGGGGCTGGCCCCGTGGCCGAGTGGTTAAGTCCGTGCGCTCCGCTGCAGGGGGCCCAGTGTTTTGTTGGTTCGAATCCTGGGCACGGACATGGCACTGCTCATCAAACCATGCTGAGGCAGCGTCCCACATGCTACAACTAGAAGGACCCACAACGAAGAATATACAACTATGTACTGGGGGACTTTGGGGAGAAAAAAGAAAAAATAAAATCTTAAAAAGAAAAAAAAAAAAGAATAAGCAGCTGGGCTAGTTTCTAGAGACCCAGGTTTTAGCCCCAACTCCTTCGCAATCGTATCCTCTCTCACCCTGGTTTTCTACCTGCACTAGCTGAGGTGTGAACTAGAGGATGGCTGACATTCCTTTAGGGAACACTTCTGCTAACCCTTTCTTTCATAAATATATCCTGGCCCCATCCCTTCTCCATCCCCACTAAATTACAGTGGACAACATTAAATTATTCATGAATCAATGATTTTAATTTTTTGTTTATACACTGACTTCTTTATGGCAACTGGTTAACAACAAAGCAAAATCCTAACTCATAATGCTAAAATTCAGCACTAAAGAGTCATCAGTTTTACATTGTCTAGTCCTAATAATCTACCAGATTAATGTGGCATATTATTCAATATTGTTACAAGAAGTTTTGGTGTCACTATAATTCACAATGCTGAAGATCAGATCAAATAATTATGTGTTCATTGCCTCAAGCTGGCTTAAAATTGGCTTAGCTACATAGCAACTAAGAGTAAGGAAATATTTAATTTCTCTATTTATGACAATCCAGTAGCAACATCTAAGTATGACTTTGGTATAAAAAACCTATATAAATATCCTTTCATCTGGTAAGGCTTATTAAACGGATAGTGTTTGGGGGAAAAATTCACGAGCAGAAGAAGATAAATATGGGTCATAATGTCAAACTATTTCTATTATCATTTTTACATTGGAAATACTCTTGTTTGGACATCTGAATGTGAGGACAATTATCACCTAGTAAAGGCAATGAATAAAAAAATAAACTCCAATGAAATGCTAACAATACAAGTTCTCCTCATTCTGAAATACTCTTTTGAGTCATTTCAGTAAAGAGAGAAAAGAAATCCAAAATAGAAAAGAGAGAACATATACAAGCTTCCATGAAGCTGTATGATAAGGTGAATAACAGGAAAAAGAATATGTCAGAGAACTGAGAAATATGCTGGAAAAGTTTTTCAAATACTATTCTTGCTTGTATCTAGCTCCATTATACAGTTTAAAATTTGGCCAAATTTTGTAAGTATTTGTCAAACAGTTCCTGCATGTGACATATGTTTCCCGGATACTTCTGACATTGATATGAGAGATTATAAAACATTTAGAAATGAAAATGTTACTCTCCAGCAAAAAACAACACTGTAACTTCCAAGTTTCTTCTGAATTCATAAGACGGAAAAACATTTGGAAAATAGTAGCTTCCAGTCTTAAAATGTTCAAATAATATACTTCAAAACAAACACAAAAAGTGTAATTGTTCAAGGCATGGAGGAGACAAATCTAAATAAAGTAAGATCTTAAAATTTACTCTAGGAGTCATTACTTTTCCTTTGCAGTTTCAATCCTATTTACTCCATAATAAGTAAACTGTTTTATCCCTTCGGCTGGGAAGGATAATTCTTACCCTACCAAGATGATAACAGTACCACTGCAGTGCTCACCCAGCAAGAAATGCGTGAATATGAAGTAGCGTCACCTCTTTCTATCAAAGTTTATGCAAGAATTGATTGGCAGTGCATTAATTTAGGAACTCAGCGGAGAGGCTCCTGCTATATCTAGCTGATCTAAACTTGAGCTCATGATAACACTGCACGAAGCTATGGTAGATGAAAGTGATTGGTAATGCCAATAGAACAATTCCACTGACAACACAAACTCCTCCAAGAATTCTTCCAGGCACTGTGATAGGATACATATCTCCATAGCCAACTGTAGTCATAGAGATAATCACCCACCAGCAGGCAGCAGGGATGCTGGCGAAGTCCTTGTTGGATGTTTCCAGGTCCAACCCATGTTCAAGAAGCTGAGAAAGTGCACTAAAGATTGCCATGGCAACACAAATGAAGACAAGTAACATAACCATCTCTCGGTAACATCGTTTGAGAGTCAAACCAAGTGTCTGAAGACCAATGAAGTGACGGGCAAGCTTAATCACCCAAAAAATCCTCATCATTCTAAGCACCCTCAAGGTGACTCCAGCCCTCTGGAGTTGAGAGTTCTCGCCTGTAAATACCGTCATTAACACGGAGATGTAATACGGCGTGATTGCCAGTAAATCAATGATGTTCAGGGGTCTCTTGACAAACTCACACTTGTTTTTGGAGACGATGAACCTCACGATGCACTCTGCAGTGAACCAACCTATGCAGATAGCTTCAATTATCCTGTCAAGAGAACAAAGGGAGAATTGATCATTTTATTTTTAAGCATTTTAATAGCTCTTAGATTTCTTCAGATAGTACTACACTGACATACTAATTCAGTTACTTTTTCCAAAAAAACAGAAAGAACAGACATTACCAACATCATCAGACTCACCAGGACACAACAGAACAACAAATATTACAGTTCAAATGAAAATTGAACTTGACAAGAGTTCTTAATTATATACTGCATGTAACACCATTAAAATTTATTTTTGCTTGTCAACAATAGTTAAAAAAAACCTATCACTTATTTGGTGGTTTGAAATCAACTTATACTCAGGTAGCCACAATATGATATGTTACCTACTCTGTGAGGACGGTGGTTCCCAACTGTGATGTCAGGTATGAGGTGGGTCAGAAGGACTTTGTTCCTACAGACAGTGGACATACTCAAGTTTTCGATGACTTATTTCTTAGCAAATAAGAGTGAAATCAAGATCATTTCCTAAAATGTTACTTGGCCTTCTTTTCCTATGGGGCTTATGTGAGAGATGTTGGAGCTGAGCCAGCTTTTTGGGCTCTGCAGGAAGGCCAATGCAATGCCCTCATCAGAAGAGCACGAGGTCATGACCATGCTCATCACGAGTGTCACAGCGGAAAAAAGGCTGAGGACTCCAGCACTGGAGCAACAATCACTAGAATTTTCCCAAAGACCCAACCAGTTTGTTTGTTTTCCACAGCTATTTTTACGCAACATATATTTTTAAAATATAAGGCCACATTTTACCTAGAGCAGTATTTACCAACCTTGCCACATCACTGCACACATTAAAAATAATATTTGCATAGCATACTGGCGTCAGGGGTGGTATTCTGGAAGCGGAAGCCACCAGCCTGGGGGTTCTGATCGCCCTGGCCCTTGCCCGTCGAACCCAAGGCTGAGGAAATTAAATCTCGGCACACCAGTTAGGAATCCTTGATCCAGAGTGACAGGAAATTCTGAGGTAATTTTTAATTACGTTACATTTTTAAATTCAAATTAAAAGTTGTCATTATTACACCATCATTCATTTTCACCCACATAATTCTTTCCCCCCACTGACCTAGACCCAAACATCAGAAGAACCAGAGGGAGAGAAGAAATTGGAAGAGTTGGGATGATGAGGCCCATGGGGTAACATTTTGAAAAGAATTACTCAAAGTGTATTCCACAGAAGACAAGCTGCCCCGGATGTTACCCAGGGAAATGAATAAATAAAATTAACCACGTTCTCCTACTGTAGGGTTTACAGATCTATAAAGATCAATTTTATTTATTTTTTGAGTACGTAGAACATTCACATGGTTCAATTTTAAAAAGTGTAAAAAGAAAATCCTCACTCTCACCCCATTAAATGCCCCAGTGACCCATTTTCCCAGTCTTCGCTGCAGTCACCAATTCCTCAGGGCACTGACTACCCAGAAACTGGGAACCTAAGTATATTAGTTTCCCGTGGCTGCTACCAAAAATTACCACAAATTCCATGGCTTAAAACAAGGGGAGTTTATTTCCTCACGGTTCCAGAGGCCAGAAGTGCAAACTCAGTATCACTGGACCAAAATCAAGCGTTAGGAGGGCCACGCTCCCTTCAGAGGCTCCAGGGCAGAATCCACTCCATGCCTCTTCCAGCTTCTGGTGGCTGTCAGCATTCCTTGGCTTGTAGCCGTAGGACTCCAATCTCTGCCTCCAAGGTCCCACTGCCTCCTCCTCTTCTGTCACTGTGTCAAATCTCCCTCTGCTTCCTTCTTAGGAGGATACATGAGATAGCATTTAGGGCCACTGGGATAAACCAGGATAATCCCCCATCTCAAGATCCTTAATTTAATCACATCTGCAAAACCCCTTTGGCCAAGGTAACATCCACTGGTTCCAGGGATCCTCTGAGGGGGAAGAGGGAGGTTTTCTAGCCAACGACACAAAGATGGAGTCACAGCTGCCCCCACTCTTTCTCTACTGTGTTGCCTGCTGCTCCGCTCAGGGACCCCATCACACTGTGGCTGGCAGCAGCTTCCCCGTCCCCACCAGGCGATCAGTAAAAGCTGCCGCCATGATGGCCTCCACACACCTGGAGGCTTAGAAAAAGGGGAGAGTAATGGAACTTGGTAGATCCAGAGAAGAGAAAGTTGCATTCTTTTCAATATCCAGTTTTAACAATACCACGTACCACTTCTCCCTGGTAACGCTCACCAAATACTCCATATGTTCCCCCGAATTTCCAGCCCCCTTGCAGTTAGGCAGGGTCAGACCAGTTTTGACTGATGAGCTATGAGCAAAATGACTCTATCACTTTCGGGCAGAAGCACAGAAGAAGGAGTGCTAATTCTCTTCCCTGCCACGGCAACCCGGAAGGCCTGTGTCCTGAATAGCTATAAAAGGATGGGCCCCTGTCAGCCCAAGACCCTGAGTGTCTGTGCAGAGAAGAACAGACATTCCTCACCCTGACTCTGATTGGACATGATAGGTGAGCAATAAATACATCTTTGTTGTGTTAAGCCACTGAGATTTCTAAATTGGCTGCTGTCCTAGGTAATCAACTGGTAAATACAGTAGACGGTAAGATGTGCATTCAAAGGCATTGCAGGAGCACACAGTAGTAACAGTAATAGTTTTCTTAGATTGGCTATGTTAAAATGTACCAGTTCTCCAGCAAAAGCACTACGTCTCTTCTCTAGCCAGACACGAGCGAGAGCAGGGGACCTCGTGCCAGAAGGCCCGCTGCTGCCCCTACTCTGAAGGACGACCTCACCGATCAGGCAGCAGAGTTGCATTGATCTTCTAAGGGCTCTCCCAGCAGTAAAATCCTAAGAGTCTATTAAATTAAGAAGCGTACAAATTTTAATTGTGCCAAAAATACCAGAACATTTTCTGTCTAATTATTTCCACCAGCAGCCAACATTGTTCAGATTAAAAAGAAGGAAATCCAAATGGTGTGGAACAATCCCTCAGTCAAGTAATCTTAAAGAGGAGACTCCTCTGTAATGAGGCCCTCCGGGCCCTTCCTGCCCACCCCCCAAGAAGATGCAATTTATCCAAAATTCCACGCTAAGGGGATGAATCACTGAGAAACCCCTGGCATCCCTCTTTCACCAAGGGTTATGCCAAGGCAGTCTCCAACAACAAACACCACTCAGCCTGCCAAAACTCCCCGTGTTTCCAAATGGCACTCTTGCCAATGCCATCACCACCAACTGCTGAAAAACTGAGCACTGTTTTACTGAGTGCTACAGCCAACAACTGGGTACTCCTGAAGGTTACTTCTATAAAAAACAAATAGGAAAAAAGAACTAAAGAAGATACTGAGAGACATCATATTCCTTAAGCCCATTCTGATTTCTTTTGAGGCTCAAACCTATACCCAAGTTCACGAAGTTGTGGAGGATAAAAATATTTACCACTTATCGAGGCCTTTCAGTTGGGCACTCTGCGAAGCACTTTACAGACATCACCTCATTTGATCCTTTTCAAACTCTCTATGAAGTGTGTATTTCCCCTAATATCTCCATTTTACAGAGGACCACTGAGGATGAAAAGTTAAATGTCTTTTCCAAGGTCACACAACTAAGAAATTGCAGTGGCATCATGTAATAAAAACCAGATCTATTGGGCTTTGAGCTCTAAGGAACATTTGAAAATGCTAATGATTTTTATGATAATGTTCACTGTTACCACTGAATGATATATGTCAATCTCTCAGTCTCCACGGTTTATGTGTTACAGCAGCATTTTTCAAACTGTCAGTTCTTAACCCATTAATGGATCAAAACTGACATCTTTCCAGAAATTGAACAGAAAATGTCAGAATGCATTAAACCATAGTTTCATGAAACTTTTGTCTCAGTTACATATAACTGTACACTAAGTTATGACGCAAAGCATAGTATTCCTTTCTGTAGGTACTGGGGGACCTTAACAATCGCTGATCATCAGTCATTCAAATTACTCTGACTAACCCCTCAGGATAGAAAGCACATCTGGGAATGACTCAGAGGTTTACAAACAGGCTCCAAAGGGGAGCAAATGCTTTCAGTTCTAACCAGTTCTACCCTCATGGCCTCCCGCCCCCCCTCAAAAGACCAGGGCAGGACAGGGGTCCCTAACTACGCTGTGTGAGGCAAAGAGCAGCCTCTCTCTGGTGCTATCTTCTCATCTTTTTCTGTCAATGTTTTATTATAAAAAATGTCAAAAGTGGAGCAAAACTCATTAATATTTTAAACATACTAGGTCATCACCTATTCACTCCCCTATCCGTCTATTAATCTATCCTTTTTTTCTTTGGATGCATTTTAAAGTAAATTGCAGACATCAGTGCACTTCCCTCTAAAAACTTAAGAATGCATATCATTAACTAGAGCTCAATATTTGTTTCATTTTTTTCTTTGGATGTAAACTTTACATGCAATGAAATGTACAAACCCTCAGCATACATTCATTGAGTTTTGACAAATGCGTAACCTCTATAACCCAAACTCTATCAAGATATGGAGCATTCACATCACCCCAGAGAGCTCCCTGCCTTATCCATCTTTGTATCTCTTGCCCTCACTTCTGAAACCCATCAGACACTTAGCAAGTGCTCGTAGATGTTTCTCCAGCACAAGGTAAGTGACTTTGATAGAACTCAAAGGCCTGGGATGGCCGCTGCAGAAGCCACAAGAAGCCTCTTGTTTCTTCTGGGAACTTTAAGATAAAGGAAGCCTGACTCAAAAATGATGCTGAGTTCAGCTGGACCCTTATCTTACACTACATACAAGAATTAACTCAAAATAGATTAAATATCTAAATGTAAGACCTAAAACTATAAAACTCCTAGAAGAAAACATAGGGGAAAAGCTTCCTGACACCAGACTTGGCAAAGACTTCTTGGCTATAACACCAAAAATACAGACTCCAAAAGGAAAAATAGACAAATGGGACTACATCAAACTTAAAAAAATTTGTGTATCAAAGAACACAATCAACAGAGTGAAAAGGCAACGTA